AGAGTGTTTTCTCCCCGTGTCCACCCTGCCCACCCCGCAAAGCGCAGCTCGAAAGCTTCGCCTCCAAGAAACCCTGTGAGGGTTTCAACGGAGACGCTCCCTCCTCCCTCTGTAATTGGCAGCTCCTTTGCCCGCGGGCACGTCACGCACGCGGCCCTCCTGCGTTGCGGGTGCAGAGTCTGCAAACTCTCGGGTTTTCTTGAATCAGAGTCTTACACCCAACCTTGCAGGCGCTGCCCGGGAGGCCGCGCGGGGCGGGGACGCGGGTGCAAAGCCAGGGCTGTGGAAGGAGGCGGATCCGGATCCGACCCCGCCTCTATCACGTACTTGCTATTGCAACTCAGTACGTTTCTTTAAATTGCCAACTCCCAGTTTCCTCACCTGTGAGATGGGGGAATCAGAAGGATTAACTGGGCCTGCGTGAGCAGTGTCTGCCACCAACTGTCCTTCATAAAGCAAATATTATTATTTCCACTGCATTGAGACTTGGGGGGATTGAATGACTCGCCTTAACTTATGAACAATAACTGACAAAGCCAGGAAGCAAACTCAGTTCTTTTGAATGTCCAGTGAAATTTATGATAATTGTGTTCTCTTTTCAACCCCAGACCTCGCAATGTAATAAGTGGACTGTTAATCCATAATGGGTCCGTAAAAAGACAATTAACTGACTGACTAGACAGGTGAAATGAGACCTCTAAAAATGAGAACAACTGTGGAATTTTGTTTTCTACATTTTCATATAATAAAACATATATTTGAAATAGCAAAATATAGCAATACAGCAACAATAACTCTACTGTCGTATTGATTATAAAAGTGGTACATTAACGGATAAAGAAACACAAAATATCATAATGCTTATTTCTAAATATAACCATTACATTTTGTGTATATTCTTCCCAACTTTTCTCTGTACACACACTCATTTTTAGATCAAGATATAACCATAGTACTCATATTGCTTTTAACTTATTTGTTTTCATTTAATGATATCTCATGATCATTGTTCTATGTCAAAAAATACAGTTCTACATCTTAAGTGACTGCTTTATGATATATATTTTATTGTATAGCTGTACCATTATTTAGTTAATCGTCTGTTAACTGATGTTTAGGTGGCTCTTAGTTTTGGGACATCAACACTATTACTTATCTTTGTGAAAA